AGTCATGGATGCGAAGTGCTAACGCTTTCTGGCCTTAACCACTACTTATGAGATCTAATATGTATCGGGCCATCCAAACTTTCATCCGTACTTTGTGTATGTATTTGTAACATGGTATCATTTTGTATACCATGCCTTTACTCATTAAAGGAGATAGTTCTGATCCAATTACGTCTTACAAGCATAGGGAAAGAATCCGATGTTTTCTTGTTTAAAAATTAGATTTCCTGGAACAAATTCATTCGTACTGTGGTCAACTTTTGTCAACTATTATCTTATTTTCCACCATTAGCCTAATGGCTCTAAGGAGTGTGGTATATAGGATTAAACAACTGATCTAAACCAGTTTGATTTTATCTGAGTAATCTTTATCGTATGATATCGTGAAAGAAATTATGGGACATAGCCTTGCCCTAATTTCAGGTACATTCTATCATGTGAACATGTAAAAAATTACTCTTAGATTATTCGGGCAGGACTCTGGCATTAGTAAGGGATAACTCTTTGTTTGAACAAGTGATCAGTAGATTAAATAGGTTTATTTGTCTTACTCCTTCTTTCTCCAACGTAATTTTCGACGAGTTTCTTAATAATGCACTGTGGTGGCCAGGTTTTATCACATTCAAGCACTCCATAAAAGGCAATTAATACTGAATTTTTATCAGTAATGCATTCCACATTTGTACTGTTTTAGTTTTTTCTAAATTTTGTGGCCTACCATTAACCTGGGCTGAAATAATTATCGAAAGCATCTGCATCCTTTCAATTGACTATCTTATCCTAATTTCCTAGTCGAAATTAGGCTAGCAATTATTATTAATCGTCCTCCTTCCTACACCTGGCGTATATTTCCAGGATCTTCATTTTTTAAAAAGAGAGCCTTCTATATTATGTAAGAGTCATAACTATAAGACTATCGTTATCAACGCGTAACTGGCATTTATTCAATAAAATTTTTAAAATACTTACAACTTTTTCCTTCATTTTGTAAAAATCAATACAATTATTGCAAGAATTAAGAAATTTCATATCATTAAACGAGAGGTTGGTGTCATGTAATTAGTATATTATCGACAAGAATTATTTTTTTAGTATTTTACAAAATAGCATAGAATAAATAGCACAAATAATTCTTAAAAATTATTTATATAAACCACTGACGGAAGGGATAATAAAGCTATATTCTTCATACATCTTTTAATATGCTTTTAAGCAAATTTTATAAATTAATATTTTAATCTTATTATTATATAAAATATATGTGGTAACGCAAATAACCTATGGGAAAGCTAATTTATCAAAATTATTAGAATTCATTTGCTATTTGGATGTCTTCCTTCAATTATATTGCTTCGAAACCCCCTATAAATAAGGTATACTTTTATTTATTCTAAACTCAAAAGCGTGGATAGAAGCAGGATTAGTGAGTTGATATTTGACGATGCCGGCATACCTTTAATTCCGTTTGTAACGGCGTGTGGAAGCGATTCGTAAATTGGCCTCACCGTATACCGAAGGAGTGTTTCCTTGGAGCTGTGACTATTGGAATGTTCGGAGGAGACGTCGGCTCATTTTTCAGCGAACCTGATCCATACATGGTGAGCTTTCATCCTTCGAGTAACCGACATCGTAAGAGCCAGAAACAATTATTTTCAAACAACAACCTCCAAAAAACGCTCAGCCAAGAAACGTTGCTGGCTGAAATTCTTCATATTTACTTTGCCATCTTGGTGAGGCATTCCAGGATTTGGCTTGACTTATCTTACATGCCTGTATACTATTAAAGTTGATGCAGGAAGCGGAACGGATATGGCGACAACTTTCCTGAATGCAAATAAACTAGCATATGATCTTGTAATCCTATGAGGTACTTTAGCTTTTTGAAGAATGTGCGTTGTGAGTATGCAATATTCATGAGTTAGTTGGCGATTTAGAGTCCTAAGCCAGACTCCAGGTTACTCAAGTATTCTCTTCTTATTTGATACTCATTCCTGTTCTCTCCTTTTTCTAATTCTATCCAATGGGCATAAATTATTATCATCTAATTTGTTATAATTGGTTCTTCTATTCAAGATTTTATTTGCTTTGATGATCTCATTCGACTTCCTGATATTATGTTTAGCTGTGAAGTCTACATAACCAGCAAAACGTTGGATTTTCGACGACTCTATCTGGTGTTCTGTATTGCTCATATGTTCTGCCGCTTCCATAAACATCTGCGTGTGCTTACGACTTCTGAAAATGTCTCAGGTATGGGTCTCCCCTGCAAAGACACTACCACATGAGCACAAATTTGGGCGACAACCTGATCTACAGAGGATGGCTGAAGCTTGTCTAAATGAAAGCCTGATCAAAGAAAGCGTGATTATTTATTAAACATGGTCCTGCTATTCCAGTTGCTCAGTAATTCCTCTATATTTTTTGAAAGCTGGCAGGACGATAGCTCTAGGAACCTTGGCGAATAATGATCAAATTCTCTCTTTTGTCCTAAATGATGATTTGCTAACAATCTATTTCTTAGTATTTCGATATTATTAGCAATTAATCCTAACGGACTAATGTTTGCAAATAAGCATTTGCATAGCCTTTCTAAAATATGCTTACAAAGGCTTCTATCCCTAGTCATTTACGTCCACCAGACGCAAACTTCTTATTGTCATTGATTTCATACTCTCCACGTTTGGGCACACAGTAGTAAATCAAATAATGGAATGTCTAATTATGGTCACAAAGTTGATTATAAAAGATAAGTAAAATTTTAGCCGGATAATTTTCTTGGTTTAGTGTTTTTGGTGATTTTTTTGTAAATAATTGTTTCTGGCTCTGGTGCTCAGCACGGATGACTCGGGGTCGCAGAATGGGGAGCCGAGGTCTTCTTAGAACAGTCCAAGAGTCACAATTCCACGGCAACCTCTTTTGGTATGCAATGAGGCCAATTTACTTATCCCTTTCACCCGCATTTTCAAACGAAATAAAAGGTATGCCAGCACCAATCTACCAGGGAATTCTTCGAAACTCAGCTTCTCTTCATGTCTTAGATATTTGCTGATTTTACTTTCCTTATTGGTTTGGGACTTAGTGAAGCTCAAAGTTTCTGCCTCGCCTCGTCATCATGAGCGGTAAGTTCGGGGTTCGACCCCTGTTTGCTTGAGTTCAGAAGTAAATTGGTCACTTTCTTTAATGACACGATCATTTAAGCCGCTATTTGTTCGATAAACATAAAGTAGGATGAAGCAAATTATAAAAAACCTCTCTGACACCACGTCTTTGGAAAGTAATTTTGTAGCGACAAACAAATGTGTCATTAAACTGGATTCCTTGCATGTGGACAGAGATGAAAGCAATAATACTTGTTCTGCTTTCCATAAAATTCACATAAATTTCTTCTATCCATACAATTTGCATCTCTTCATATACTCTTCAGCCTACAGTGGGAACCCCACTCAGGTCGAGCCAGTTTAGAAGCAAATACATCAGTCATAGTAGCAGAAAACCCAAAGCACAGAGTAACCACAGATGTTAAATTAGCCCAGCTATCACGAAATTCCAATTCGTGGTCGCTAGTTATCGATAAGTAACACATGCTTTTGCCGTTCATCTCTCCTTTATCACTATTGGATAGTCAAAACTATTGATAATATATCATAGAACGATGGGCATCTCAGGTAGTTTTAACATATAATGGTAAGATAATTAAAACTATCGTATCCCTATTTACCTCTGAGAAAAATGTGAATTGTGAAATTCCTATGTTGGTTTAGAAACTCTCCTTACCATGCTCTCCTGCTGGGAGTACTGACGAGATCTCGGATAGGGCTCTGGTCCTTGATGATATGGAGAAATTTGGGCTACAAATATAAATGAAGGTTACCTCGATACCAAGCTTCCTCTCCTCCTCCTCTTCCTCCTTCTCCTCCTCCTCCTCCTCCTCCTTCTCCTTCCTCTCCTCCTCCTCTTCCTCTTTCTCCTCCTCCTTCTCCTCCTCCTTCTCCTCCTCCTTCTCCTCCTCCTTCTCCTCCTC